CTCGACACAGGCTTGGCCGCCATGCGCGCTTCCTTGGCCTTGCGGCGCTGCTCGGTGGCGTAGAGAGCAGGGTATGTCTCGCGGAAGAGCTGTTCCTCGCGCGCGCGGCGCTTGGCCTCCTTGTCTTGGACGTGCTGGCTGTTGTAGAGCATGGTGTTTTCGATTATGACGCGCTGCAAGACGCCATTTCGCTCGCTGTAAAAGCGATATTGCAGGTTTTTCCCTTGTGAAGCGACAGGGCGTGCTAGCTTTTACCTCGCAGCCTTTACACGCCTGGTACGATCCACGTCCATGCCTTTGGTGATCGTAGGATGGCGACTTGGCGCCTCATCAACCTCCCATGACAGTAGTGCAGGCTTTTGACATATCACTGTGAGAAATGCTCAGCTTTCTCTTTCAAACCATTCTTATTGTGGACTGTATCCATGCGCCGCAAGGATACGCTGTAACGAGAGGCTGCCACGTCATGAAACCGGTTGCTCACTGTCGCCAGACAACCCTTCTAGCTACAGCTTGCACAACGCTACGATTGCATGCTTCACACACGGTCTTCCTGCTCAACGGTCCACTTGGACCCTAGCGAGGTATGCAAGGTAGCACGCATGATGCACCACCAAGGCCTCCGCTGCAAGAGGACCGACGCCAGCGACAAGTGTCCGCCTACCTCCTCCTCAAGACACAAGACAGCATTGGATGCAACTCGACGTCTGTGTCGACACGACGTTAGCAATGCAAACATCGACGCGGTGCCCGTCATGGCTCGACCGCAAAGTGGTCGTGGAGCGCGGCCGCCACCTCCCGGCGCATCTGGTTTTGGACGCAGTGGCCCGACGTGTCAAAAAAGACCTTGCGCGTGTGCGGGCCCTCGAGGTGCTGAAATAAGTAGTCGGCGTTCTTCGGGTGCAGAATCCAGTCGTGCGCAGCGCCGACGATGAGGATCGGGAACCCGTGGGCGCGCACGGCCTCGAGCCGCGCCGGACTCATGTTGTGGCCAAAGACCGCCGCGTGCTGGCCATGCACGCCCGCCAAATTGAACGTGACGCCGTCGAGGAGCTCGAGGTGAAACTGATGCAGCATCTCGTGCATCGTGCGGCCGTCCGACGCCGTCTCGGCGAGGTAGTGCTTGGGGTACAGCGTACTCATCATCGTGTCGACAATGTCATGCATTGTACGCGCAAAGCCAAACTTGGCCATCGTCAGATACGTCGCAAACTGCGTGATGCCAGGAAACGCGCCCGTCGTGTGACCTGGCGACGACACGATGAGCGCGAGCGACCGGACGAGGTGCGGCGCCGCGTACGCAAGCTCCTGCGCCACCATGCCGCCCATGCTATTGACGCATCAGAGATGGGTGCATGAACAAGCATGCGTTGGTATTGTACCTGACGCCAACGACATGGACGTGGGTCCACCCGAGGTGCTCGAGAAGCAGGCGTGCATCGTCTGCCAAGAGCGCGGTCGTGTAGCGCACGAACGGCTTGCTCGAGCCGCCGACGCCGCGGTTGTCCAGCGTCACAATCTGGTACTGCGCGTGGTGGTGCGTCGACTGGTCGAGGAGCGTCGCGAGGAGCGGCGTCCACGTCTCCTTCTCGCCCATGAGACCCATGAGGAGG